GAATATAGTACTATACCTTTAGGGCAAGAACACACACACGTATACGTCAACAAGTGCCTACCATATCTGAACGCCACAGCATATAGTACTATACCTTCAGGGCATGAACACACACACATATACGTCAACAAGTGCCTAACATAGCTGAGCACCACAGCATATAGCACTATACCTTCAGGGCTAGGGATTGGAGCATGGCCAAGACCACGTCATGTCCGTCCACGTCAACTTTGCCCTGCTGAATGATACCCACACTTGCATTGGGCAAGAACTTTGCAATACGCTCTCTCCACTGATTCATCAGGAAGGTCTTGTGCACCACCACCAACGTCTTCACGCGGAAACGCGACATCAACTGCAGCGCACACACCTGCGGTGCGCATGATAGCACATATCGTACGTTTTAACACCTGTAACATGTGCAACACTTACAACAAAGTGAAGCACCTATACTAACGAGTGAAACACCTAGACTAACACGTGAAACAGATATAGTATCACCTGTGGTGCTGATAATGTCATTCTGTGGGAGAAAAAGCGACGCGTATACTGCGGAGTACTACTCTGGGCTGCAACACCTGCTACTTTGTCTTACATAAAAATCGCAGATTACTATACTCTAGAATGCTTCAACAGCGACTAAGGATTGTATAATCATTCAAAATCGAAAGGATATTCCTTTTCCTATCCGTCTGACATTATTACCCTAATTCTACTGACAAGTAAAAGTGCGGTGAGCATTCATTAAATAGCACAGTTTCACTACAATGTCATCTTTTTTTTGTAAATGTGCCGCAGCCACGTTAACGGATCTCTGTAGCGTGGCATATTAAGTAATATCGCGTCGGAGGCTGGCAGGCCACCCACCTTCGAGGTAGGTATCTTTCAAGTGATTCGAATGTAATCTATCTTATCATATACGATAACACACATCCTAAAGCAAGACTAAACGTCCTCTATCATCAAGAACAGGAAGAAAAAGAAGAAGAAAAGCACATGATGCGACTCCTCTGCATGCCAAAATGAGTATTTGATGAGCGCAACACATATGTATGAACTAAAGTTTACAGAGGTATAGGTAGATATGTGTGTACATACTTGTATATATATATTTATTTAAATATACATATATACATATGATCGTACTACTAAAAAAATGTATACATATACACCACACCACACATAGATATATGTATATATATATATGTTTATATATA